AGTTACTTTTCATAAAATTTCCTGAAAGCATTTGCAACATTTACAATCTGTAAATACTTTTGTAAGTACAGTACTTTTCTTTCACTGATCATTTACATCATAGAAAAAGACAAGTATGGATGAATCAGTAGTGTCAGTAAACTTATACGCTCATCTCCTGGCAAACCTGTTTCATATTTTTTTCTCACTTGTACACAATAGTAAGGGTCATCATTATTGCTGCTGTCCTGTATCCTAAAGAACTAATGAGACAAAGAAAGGGCAATTCTAATTTTCCAAAATAAAGTGATCGAAATGTTTGCTAAAGTCAAGAGATTAATAACTACCACCAGACATATATTTCTGACATGATCTTTAAAGTAATTAAGTCTAAATATTAAGATGAACGACTGGGAGCTAGTTATCTCTTTATCTTATACATAAAACAAAAAGGGAGGTTACTTACCTGTAACCATGGTTCTTCAAGTGGTCATCTGTGAATTCACACAAAAGGGTTAACCCAGCGCTAGCGTTGGTCCTCTCGGAACATTCTCGAGCTTTAAGAGAAAAGTAACAAAGTTTAAGGCTGCCTATACGGTGCATGCTCCGCCCGCCCCAGCCTCAGTTCCATTTTTCCGCCTAGCGACTTGGAACCTCTCGCCTCGAGCTCTGTATTTTTTCCACTTTGGACCTTCACTCCTTACATGCACCAATGAGTCTTGGGCACCCACAACCCTGACACCAGTTGACTGGTTGTCCTTCCTTGCACCACTTTTGATAGGAACTAACCACTGCATACTGCACAACCCTGACACCAGTTCACTGGTTGTCTTTCATTGCACCACTTTTGATAGGTACTAACCGCTGCATACTAGAAACACTCCACAAGACCTGCCATTTTGGGGATGCTCTTGACGCAGTTATCTAGTCCTTGTCAAAGTCACTCAGATCTTTTCACTTGCCCATAGTTCTTGATTCCAACTCATGACATTCAAGAATTGACTGTTCCCTTGCTGCCTAATGTATCCCCAACCTTGACAGGTGCCATTGTAAGGAAATAATGCTATTCGCTTCACTTGTCAGTGGTTTTAATCTTGTGTCTGATCAGTGTACATTTTCTAACACTTGTTTGGTGTTAGACAAGTTGATGTTAATTTGAAAGTGGACGTACTCTTGTTTTTCAGTTCTTAACAGTTGCTCCTATGACCTAAATCTCAATAGTCTGATCTCTATGATGCATTATCACTGGATGTAGCAAAAAAATATAGGGTTTGTAGTATAAAAACTTTTCATATGTCTACATCCATGTTTCCCAGATGTTCACAGCTGCCTCAGTTAACTGGGTGTGGAAATCTGTTCATATGCATGGTCCTGGCCTTTGTGCAAGTGTGTCATTTTTAATGGCTTGAGTGAAAGGGTAGAGGGCTCAAGAGAAGCAAAGTGCAAATACCACACATCATCCTGTACTGAATCCTACAGCTGTATTCCTGTACTCCCAAGTCTCAGGAAGGATTGTGATATTAACATATTAAAATGTGACAGTGCATCATGCTTCCCGTGTTTCTGCAATCTTCCACCTGCTGCTCATCACCGTTCCAGCTCCCAAAGCGTTCTATGTAGCTTTAGTATGTGACTAAAGTCACAAAATAAAGTTAATCTGTTTTGCCAGGAAAGGAGCTATTTTATTCTGCATAGGGCTAAGATGTGTAAAGCTACAATACTTTACTAAGTAACAGATTTTGTGGTTCCAAGTTTTTATCAAAGCAAAGTTAGCGTTACTGAAATAATATTTTTATTCATTTCTGTGCTTGTCCATTTATATAGTACTATCTCATCCTTAGATGACCTCCTGTGGGAAGCATACATTTTTCATCCAATGTCAATTCTGGTGCCAATAATTTTGTGTATTTTGGCAATGTTAAACCATATCTTCCATGTACTCTTCTCTGCTGCAATTTCTCCACTGCTACTTGTGTGGTAGCAATTTTATATATCCGAGTCTTCCATTTATACTGAATCTCCAGACAGTAGTAGAGCCCTTGCCACTCTTTCTGAAAAACTGTATAGACTTGGACAATAGCACCTTTCTACCTATCTTAGATTTTGTTCTTCTTTTGTTCTAATTTCCCCACAAAGTGTGTGTGGGGGGAGTAACTCTACCTTTTTCAGATACTCTGAAATAAAACAGTTTGCTACAAACACACACACACACACACACACACACACACACACACACACACACACACACACAAAGAATGACAGCCTCCTCCCGGTTTCTACTCACACTGATTAATAGATTTGATCCATATAAAATGCAAGAATTCCCTTGGCCCTTGGAATGCCTTGGATCAGCTCTTCCTGCTGGTGTGAACTGCAGAGTTCTTTCTTTTCTTTTTTTTCTGCAAGCATAGCAAGGGTTTCTGGATCAAATGTGACATCAGGCTAGAAAGTCTGGTGCTTGAACAACTTCTTAAGAGTCTTATAGATCTTTAAAGGCTTTTAGGAATAGTCGGAAGCTTGTCGCAAGTAGCATTTATCCCAGTAAGGCTTTCTTCCAATGTGAAACCAGCTAACCATTTCTAATTATATCAATGTTCCTTTGATTATCAAAGTATTTTAAACCATTGTTTCACTCATGGTGAAGTAAGTTGTCTTATATAAATCCACATCTTACTTTTTTCCCCAAGTAGAAAAATTGTTCAGGCAACAATAGCTTGCTTATTTTTACAAGCTTTATTCATTCATATTGCTTTTATGTTCCATATGCATAAACTACTTCAAAGTTGTTGTAAACATATAACTTTTTGAGAAGTTACAGGGACATTTCAGTTACATAGAAACCAGTCTTACATCTATGAAAAACTGTAGCCACACATGCTGAAACAGAAATCCATGTTTGCAACTTGTGAAAAGCTGCAGGCATAATTGCCATCCAAATTCATTGTCACAACTATGAAAAGCTGTGAATAAGAAATAATTCAAAAGCAACACTTAAGTTGGTCAGAAAATTCAGAAACAATTATTTCAGTTATTTGCTTCTGGCTACAGAAGTTACAGGCAAGAACTTAAATCACATTTCAATCCAAAGCTACAGGGGCTTGAAGCCTTAAAGCGACACAATGCAGAAGCAGAGTATATTTCTTAAAATATCAAAGTTCTTAAAAGTAAAAATATATGAAAGTTAAAAAAAATTTCTTCACCTTTAAGCATATTACTAGACACACAGGAAAACTGTTTAACCATGTTCTCAGCCAGTCAAGCCAGTTTGAATCTATGAAGAAGGTAACGGTAAAGCTAAAAAGGTTCCCCTTGACAGGCCATAGAGCCAGTGTTTGTCTGTAGACAGTTTCTGTGGTCATGTGGCCAGCGTGACTAGACACAAAATGCCGTTACCTTCCCACTGTGGTGGTACAGTGGGGTCTTGACTTAAGAACGGCTTGAGTTAAGAACATTTTGACTTAAGAACCGCTCTCATAGGAAAATATTGACTTGACTTAAGTACTTAGATTTGAGTTAAGAACTGAAAAAAACCCACGTGGAAGGCAGGGAAAGTGCAAAAAGTGAACTTTCAGTTAACTGTTGGCCAGTGAAAAGGGTGCCTGTCTGCTTCCTCACTCCTCCCAGCGTTTAGAGAGTGGATTGGGAGACAGTCTTCAGACTGCCTGGTACTGTACTGCCTGGACTGTATTTTCCCTGCCTTCCCTGAACCTTTCTTGACCTAAGAAAAAAAGAAACAAAATATCCACCTCTAGTGGTCGAAGGTGGAATAGCAGCTTCCCATTAGTTTCTATGGACGGAAAAGAGCAGATACGGATTAAATGGTTTTCAATGCATTCCTATGGGAAATGCAGATTTGACTTGAGAACTTTTTGACTTGAGAACCGCCTTCCAATACGGATTAAGTTCTCAAGTCAAGACCCCACTGTACCTGTTTACCTACTTGCATTTACATTCTTTCGAACTGCTAGGTTGGCAGGAGCTGGGACAAGCGACATTTCAGGTGCAAGGGAAATTGGTACCAGAGTACCAGAGTAGCAAATAGTACAGTGGTGCCTTGCAAGACGATTGCCTCGTGGGACAATTAATCCGCTGTTCCGCTTCGCAAGACGATGGTTTCCTATGGATGATTTTCGCAAGACAACATTTTTCCCTATTGGAATGCATTAAGTAGATTTCAATGCATTCCAATGGGGACCCGCATTTCGCAAGATGATGTTTTCTATGGATGATTTTCGCAAGACCACATTTTTCCCCACTGGAACGCATTAAGTAGATTTCAATGCATTCCAATGGGGAACTGCATTTTGCGAGATGATGTTTTCGCAAGACAACGTTTTTCACGGAATGAATTAACATCATCTTGCAAGGCAGCACGGTATTTTACTTGGGTATGATTATGCTATTTGAGGAAAATGCCAGGAGTATAAAGTTCTGATGAACAAGTTTTTCCAGGTAGCAATTTGCTCTCTCCCCTTTTTAGAATTTTGGAGTTCCAGGGTCTAAGGTGTTTTTTCCCCATCATTGCTTTTATTATCCTTATCGGTTATTTACACATTCAACTATTGGCTAGCTAGAGAAGAGCTACTTGTGTGTGGCAATGTTATTTTACATTGACCTTTGTTTCAGTCTTGGCTGGAGTTAGCTGATTGTTTTGCAGTGACTTTTAGTAAACTGTTCAAATATCATTTTCTTAAACGTAACATTTTCTGGGTTGCTTTTTTCTTTTCCAGTCCCCTTAATTACTTTAATAGTCTAAACACAATTTTCCAAACCTTGACAGTGATATTCCACATTCTCATTACCAATACAGGGCACTTATACCACTAAGCACTTCTCAGTTTTCTGTTTGAATGGGTTGAAAAGTGGTGTAAATTATCTGGTATAGAAAACTGTATCCTGTGAATCATAAAACAATTGAAAATGATTGGTCTAAATCTCAGATACTTCTTTCGTGATACATTCTGTTTTGTCTACTGGTTCTTACATTGTACCAAATTTAAGCATGAGGAAAGAGGCTATTATTTCTTACAAATTGTTTTAATGGATATTCATTCATTCATTCATTTAATCTTACCCTGTTACAATAAATTGTAGCTGCCCACTTGTCACTCTTTAACAAAAAGTTATTCAATTTATGGCCGTCATAACCTCGTAGCACTGTCAGAACAGATCACTTCTGTGATGCAAGAAAAATGAACTAAAATGTGCCTTTAAGTGAAGCACAATTGAATTCTGAAAGGAAATACTGAACAATATTGTCATCCCATGGTACACAGAGATATAGGATTGCAGGTTCACTGATAACTGTTAATCCTATCACCCCTTCCCAAGTAATTAAAAATATTTGACCAGAATTCTAAGGTAAAACAAGGCATACAGTAGAAGAGTGTGATCATTTCTATGCCTTTCTTCAAAGATTTTGCAGTAGTAGCCACAAGAAGGCAGGTTGGTGGGATCCAAGCCTGTTGATATATGCAAACACATTATAATAGTGGAAAGGCACAGTTTCTGTCAGAGAAAACAGTGTGTGAGAGAAATCTCAACATCTGGACCACAAATACCTGCCTGCTTCTCTTCGTGAAACTTTCAAATAGATAGACTGACATTTGTGTCGTCATAGTGTGTAGTGGCTCTTGGTTTCTCTGTTGTAACAAATAAGATAAACCACTAGCAGGAGGATATTTAGTTTTATTTCATTTTCAAGCCTTATGCCCACCTTTCAATTGATCTTTAACTCAGTTTATGTATAAACTGTTAAAACAATGCGAGAGTAATGTTTAAAAACAGAAACAAGCACAATAAACAAAATAAAACCTTTTATCTTTCGGTACTCTTAAAGAACAAGAAGTCCTATTTGGTATAAAAATGAAAGATTGTAAAATGTTTTAGTCTTTAACTATTTTATCAACAAACGAAGCAACCTGTAGCAGCTGAAAACAAAGCAATTGTGTATGATAGTACAACAAACCCTTAGCAAAACAGTGAAGATGTAATCTTGTGCCTAGAAATCAGTAAACGGGGGCACCAGGTGCCTATTGAATACTTGGGACTGCAACCGCAAAAGGATTCTCATCCAGGGTCATACAGGGCAAGTTTATACTTGAGTGATGGTCCTTCAGGTAACCTTGGATAACTGGAGGCCATTTGGGGAGATTATAACACCATTTATACACACACAAACACAATATTGATAATTCAGCTCTGTGGATTGTTCATAGCAAACTGGGAGCTAGCAAAACATACGATCAATTAATGATATAGTCACCCATACTCTGGACCTGTTGCAGTTTCTACTGCTTTTCAGAAGCAGCTGATTATATGTGTTGAAGTAATCTAACCTCAGCATTAACGTTTAGGATCATGTTTGATGTCAAAGCAGCCAAACTTGGTAGAAATGTACTCCACATATGCCAGCTGAGCATCAGTATGGGGACCTGGTTCCACAGTTGTACTGTATGCTCCTGGAGAACAGGAAGAGTGGATGGCATATCCACATTGTTATGCATGAAGTGGGTACCTCCCCAAGTGTTTAAGAGTACACCTTTGCCATGCATGCCAGGGCAAACTGGATAAACATTAAATGCCACATAAAGCTCAAAATATGGGCCCCCAAAAAGCTGAAAGAAACTGTTAATGGTTTGGTAAAGAGGTAACAAAATATGAGAAGCATTAACTGTCACAATCTATGAAACTGTTGTGGTTAAAGGAAAGGCTATGTGATAAGGGAGAATACAAACTGCCTTGATGGGCTGAAGGTCAAGATGTTCCCAGGGATGGCTCGGCAGAGGACACAAAAGGATGGGGAGGAATATACAACTGACGTTCAAGTCAAGCCTAGCTCTGTAAATGCTGCTATTCTTCACACCATGTGGCTGATAGAAGTTGGATATAAAGGTATATGTTGGAATCTTACAACACAAAGTGATTAATTTCCCTCTTTCATCCATGGCTTTTCAGTGGAAGAGGCATTCTGAAGATTCACATGATGTTCAACCAATGGCATTAAGCTCCATGTGTCTCTAACACCAGTGATGGAAGAGAATGCAGACCCAACTTGATGTGTTGCATTGTATGGGAAGCCAAAGCATAGAGCTGGCTGGATGTTCACTTGCTCTCCAGAAAGTGGGGTTAGAGCCAACATCTGGGACTCACTATTAGAAAGTGAAGTATAATGGTCTTCTGTTCTGGGTGTGCTGGAATCCAAGAGAAAGAACGGACTGTAAGACTTTGCCTGCAGATTGCCAGAATATTGCATTTCTCCATCCTTGAGGTATGAAAACGACTCTGCTGAAGAAAGGGTAGAGTTGTGTTGTCCTATGGGTTGGGCCTTCAACTCCTGTGTTAATGAGCAGGACGGTGTTTGTAAGGTCGGTGGTGTCTGCATCCTGCAACATCCTTGGAAATTGCATACTTCTAAACATGGACAGTCCAAGCACAGGCCGTGATGAGCCAGTGAAGGACCCTGGCTGTCTCTGAAGTAACGGTCCCGATGTAGATCATCCACCAAGTCTTCATATTTACCTGGTCTTGCAAAAGTGTTTCCAGAATGGGTTTTTGCTCTGAAAGATAATGCAGAAAATTGCTCTGACATGGCTTCCATATGTCTTGCCTGATCTTGTAATACAGTCGACTCGGGCTGCCAGTTGTTTTGGTGTGCGCTTGACCAATCACTTGCTGAACCCTGGATACTTTCTCTTTTCCACTGTGGGGAATCAGTGTGAAGTGTTGTCATGCTGACTCTTGAGCTGTTTCTGTTGCCAATGAGTCCACCCCCTCTAGGGCCAGCTACAGTTGATGTATACCCAGTCTTAGTCTTTGTTCTCCAGAGCTGTCCTGTTTTTTGAGTAGGTGTATAGGTCTTTGTCTTAGCTCGGAGCTCATCAGCTACGGAGAGATGGTCCCAATTCAGTCTTTCTGGATGAGAAAATTTGCACTTGATGCCATACGTACATTTTTTGTCTGGAGAAAAAGGAACAGATAATTAGTGTGTGCCAAGTAGTCTATACGGGTATTATCCTTGGATTCTGGAAACCCTATAGCCCTATTGCTCCTTTGCATTACTTTAAACTGGCAGATAAAACCAAGTACAGTGGACCCTTGACTTACAGACGGCTTGACTTACAGACTTTTTGAGTTACAGACTTCTCTGGCCGCAAAATTTAGGTTTGACTTGCAGACTGAGATTTGACTTACAGACCAGAAAAAAACCAAAATGGAACAAAAACGGCCTGTTACGAGATTAATCGGTTTTCAATGCACTGTAGCTCAATGGAGACTTGACTTACAGACTTTTTGACTTGAGAGCCGCCTTCCAATACGGATTAAGTTCTCAAGTCAAGACCCCACTGTAACAGTTTTAAGCTAGTCAATGGACCACATTATGCATTAAGTGTTGGCCCCTTGACTAGGTATAACTTACTTTGCCAGTGTATCAAAGGGGAAAAAAAGACACATTCAGTCCCTCTGCAGTCATTGTCAGAACTCCATGGTTCTCATGTGAGATCTTGTTACTGAGGATAGCTTTCCATGTGCAAAAAGAATGTGTCATGGTATGCAAAGTACTCCCACAGGCTACTCCTTTACTAACAAAGAAGATATGCCAAAACATATTATAATGTCTTGTACCAACATCATCAAGTGCCTGGGTTCGGTTGTCGCATGGTGAGCTCCTCAGAGGACAGCAAAATTGGAGTTGTTGTATACCCATTGATTGATATGTTTGCTACTTAACACAGCACCTCTATATGTATTAACAGCAAGAGGGATTAGAGTTAACACTACTGTTAATTGCCACGGGGATTTCTTAAATTAACTCATCTTTAAATTTAGATGATGTCTTTTCAGAGTTTTTTATTAATTAATTTTGATTAATATGGTGCTTTTTTTTTACATATATTGTAATGGCCACTGGTGATACAAATAGAACCTGGGGCTCATCCAGATGGAACTTTTTTTCCCCCACTTTGTGTCAGCATTGATCTTACTGGGATTTCTGTACATACTACCCCACTTTTCTTTCCTCTTGAGGAATCAGATCAAAAGTCTTGAGGAAACCCTTGAAGAAAGAATTTAAAACTCTTTTAAAAGCTTTAAAACAATCTTATAACCATAGAATAATTGAGTTAGAAGGGCACTAAGTCCAACTCCCTACTCAATGCAGAAATCCAAATCAAAGAAGATCTGATGGATGGTGATCCAGTTTTCTCTTTAATGCCTCCAGCATTGGCGCACTCACCCCCTCCCGAGGTTATTGAGCTGGTTTTTGCTGGCTGGATCTCTTTTGTTTTACAGATCAGTACTACCTTAAGAATCAAATACCTTAAAAAACCACTGTTTTAAAAATCTGGAGAAAACTCTAGAAATAATAATCTGCTGGATTTTTTTTACTAAAAGTTTGTTTGTTTATTTGTTTACAGAGTAATGCCAAGTCATATGCATCCAACACAGTGGACACCTGCTGCTAATCCATGCGGAAATATCAACTGCCTAAAAAAACCCCACTTTTCCCAAAATCTCAACTGCCTTCGGAAACACTACTTATGGTTTTATGTAGGATTTCCTCCCCTGTATTTGGCGTTGGGGTTGGTTACCTAAAACTCAGTAGTGCTAGAGTGAAACCTTCTGCCTAAAGAAGCTATTGCCACCTGAAATCCACCACCACTATAAAGGGAAACAAACAAAAACAAAAACCCACCACCTCCTGGAATCATTTTTTTAAAAGCATGGGAAAACAGTGTGTGCATGCATGCGTCACACTTTGTCACAGCTGGTACCAGGTTTTAAGGATGGTCATTTTCCTTAAAAACAAGGTGTGTGGCTTTACATGGGGAAAAAACCACAAACAAGCAGCATCAGAGTATGTTACTCACTGCAATGACACAGAAAGATTTGTGAGCGTCATTTTCCTTAAAAACAAGGTGTGTGGCCAACCTTAAACTTTACATGGGGAAAAAAATCCACAAACAAGCAGCATCAGTGTGTGTTGCTCACTGCAATGACACAAAAAGATTTGTGAGTTTCCTATGTTGCAGACACCTGAACATCTCTACAAGGTACACATCTCCTTCATTTGAATTTTAGAATAGAAGCATTAAAAGTACGTGCTGGAATCATTGGACCTTGGCTTTTCTACAGCATTTGAAATTTCTTTCTCTTTGGTCCTATAAGATAAGTAGATGAGCACTAAACATGACACAGAGATAAAACCTACCGTAAGGGCACAGCTGCCATTTCGGCTCAGGGACGAGTGGTTTTTTTCTGAGAAAATTATCAAGAGAGGGTCCATGTCGGCCCAAGGGGTCATCAGGAGGCATGAATCTAAAAGTAAAATAGAGTTTACTATTTGAGCATCTGAATCAAGTTTTCTGAATAGCAGTCAATGTCACAGTGAAGATTCTTGGCATAGCTTCAGCATCAGATTATACCTTTTCAGAAAGCAAAAGGCTTTCCCCATATGTCATGGACTGGATTTTGCAGCAGAATCCTGCATTCGAAATGGCTCTTTCTTTCAATGAAACCATTTTGAACCAGCTGAGCTATTACACTGCCTGAATGGAAGAGGAAGATATCTCTGCCAGTTCCTCTCTTCCTACAGTTCCCCATATCCCTCCAAAGGATTTGGGGAACCTCCTTTGATGGCGAGGTAGTATCAGCTGGAATTGGGTTCTGACAATAGGAATATTCTGAATGGACCTCTACTAGAGAACATGCCTACTAGCCAATTAAAACTCTGGGTCTCACACAATTAAAACTGCACTTGACTATGTTAAAGTTCAGCTGGTCCTATTGAAGTAACTCAGCATGAGATGTTTTGCACAAAACTGGCAACCTCTTACTTGTCATTAACAAAGGAATACATCAGTAGTCGCTGCTCAATAAACCATTTCCACTCAGGATTTTCACTCTGCAGGTCCCGAAAATTGTCATTGGAAACAATGACTCCATCTTGTTCATAAGCCAATTTGACTATGTATCGATCATCATAGCACACCATCCTTTTGCCTTTCATTTTTCGGGATGGTGTATACACGAGAATTGCTTGCTTCTCAAGGTTTTCAAGGATGTGCTGATCTAAATGCAAAAATAAGAGGAGATTCAGCAGCAGCAAGAACACAGACAGCAAAAGAAGATCACAAGCAGAAGTTGAAGCCGTTATTTGGAAAGACCACATGCACACACCCCATAGAAAATCCAAAACAACAACACACAAACCATTAAATATAATGTAAATTAAGAGCAGAAGATAAAGCTCACTCTAAGTTGGAAGTGTGAGGATTGAATCCATTTTAATTATCCTGATTCAGTTCAACTGAATCTAGATAAATCTTTGGTAAATGTTAAGATGACCCAAACTTGTATCAGTACATATAATCATATGCTCAGTACCTTATAAATGTATCAGTTATCTATCCAGCCATGTACACAAGACCAGTGTGAGCGACTGGTGGTGATGAGGCTGGTGGTGGCGGCAGGTGCACAAATAAAAACAAGAGGATCACTGGCCTCTGGGTTGTGGCCCATTGGATGGTTTGGGCTAGCCCTGTTAATTTCAGTTTAAAAAAAAACACTACAGCTGATGACATCATCAGCCTAACATGGCATCACTTATGGAACAAAGTTTCAGCCAGCAACCCCCACTTACACATGGATTGTGTGTAAGTGGGGGTTGCTGCCTCAAACCTCTTTCTATAAGTGACGCCATGTTAGGCTGATGTCATCAGTTGTGGTGATTTTTTTAACTGAAATAAAACATTTCTGATTTCTCCTCCAAAAGCTCCCACGGAATCCTCTTAATCACCAGGAAGTAGTTGGGGGCTGCAGGATGGGTGGAAATGCTTTACTTACTGAAAATTGTCACCACAAGAGTGATTTTACAAGCAGTGGTGATTTTCAGTAATTAAAGACTTCCCCCTGTTCTGTAATCCCCAATAGCTTCCTGAAGATGAAAGGGATTCCACAAGACCTTCTGGACACTTGAGGGAGGTATTGATGATGTTTTCATTCCAAAAAATTGCCATGGTTGATAACACCATCGTATCATCCTTTGCAAGAGAATTTAGCCAATATAATGTAATGCTGCACTTAATATAACATCTGGTACATGCATACCTGTAATGGGAGTATCAAATCGGGTTCGTTCCTTTCTCCAAGAAGGTACAAAGACTTTGATAGATTGGTGGCCTCTCTTTTTGAACCAGTCTACCACCAGCTGAATTCCCAAGCATGAAAACACTTCCTTATTTCCATGGCTGGGGAGGAGAGGGAAAGAGGGAGAGAGATGGGGGGGGGGAAGACATTATTGTCATCATAATTTCCTCTCAGAAAGGTCTTCTGCTTTCTGCCTATGATAGCTACATGGGTTCTGATATATACAGGCTTGGGCAGCCCTATCTAGTCTTGCTAATAATCATAGTTTTTTTTATTTTATTTGCTCTTTGTGAGATTTGCAAATTTTAGACTGCCAGTTATCTATGAATAGAACACCAAAGGGTCTTTGTGGATCGAATTAGCCAAAAATGCTGGGGATGTAGGGGACCAAGAGTGGATATTCTAGAAATAATGTATTCGCGAAGGCTTTCACGGCCAGGATCTAATGGTTGTTGTGGGTTTTTCAGGCTTTTTGGCCATGTTCTGAAGGTTGTTCTTCCTAACGTTTCGCCAGTCTCTGTGGCTGGCATCTTCAGAGGACAGCACTCTGTGCTCTGGTGTAGTTTACTTGAGAGTTGAGTATTTGTGGCTGTGAGCTAAAATTAGTGTGTCTTGTTGTGGGTGCATTGTTGAGATAAAGAGGAAATATTATCTGTCACTGTGATTGATGGGTGTCATTAGCTGGCCTTTTGTGTGTAGTGATCCCCGGTCCTTGTGGCTGGGTAGAGGTTGTTGACCTTTTGCACACTGTATTTTTCAGAGCTAGGAGCCAAGTTTTGTTGACTTTCAAACTTTCCTCTTTTTTGTTGAAGTTCTGCTGGTGCTTGTGGATTTCAAATGGCTTCCCTGTGCAGTCTGATGTAATGATTGCTGGTATTGTCCAGTATTTCAGTATTTTGAAGTAGAATTTCATGCCCAGCTTGAAGAAGAAAGCCACCCACAAATAAAGTATTTCTGCCATACATCAAAGGGGTCACGGACCACATGGGGAAACCTTTGAAAAAACACAACCTACAAACAGTATTCAAGCCCACCCAAAATACAACAAATGTTACGGTCAGCAAAGGACAGAAGGGACCCCCTCACCACTGCAGGAGTATACTGGATACTTTGCAGTTGTGGCCACGTATACATTGGAACCACAAAACAAAGCTTCCACACCAGAATCAAAGAACATGAGAGACACTGCAGACTGAAACAAACAGAAAAATCTGCAGTAGCTGAACATGACCTAAAACAAGCTAATTATGGACAATATTTTATGCTGTGATTTTAGTTCCCTTTCCTCTCTACTTCACTAGCCCTAGTTCTGTGCCTATTTACAGATAAACCCTGTAGCCCTTTGGCTGAAAAGTGCCATGCCATCCCAAAACAGATGCAGAAGGCTTCTCATCCCATTGCAACCAGTTTTGAGAGCACATGGGGAGCTGCAGTATGAAGCAGGAGACGGGGAGCAAGGCGCCCAGCCGCGCCAGAGCCCCTTCCCTTCTCTCTTCCCCTCTGTTGCCGAGAGAGCAAGCCGAGAGCTGTCGGCTTTTGGAAGAGGGGAAGGCGGAGAGGGCGTGCAGGCACCCAGCCGCGCTGGGGCTCATTCCCTCTCTCCTCCTTCCTCCCGTGCTGGGGCTCGTTCCCTCTCTCCTCCTTCCTCCACAGCCCCGGGAAGAACAAGCTGGCCGGTGGCCGGCCTTTGGAGGAAGGGGAGGAGATGGAGGCAGAGACGGCGAGCCAGGAGCCCGGCCCTTTCCCTTCCCATGCCACCTCCCCCGCCCTGGGAGGAGCTAAAGCACTGCTCGCTGCCGGCCCTGGGCTGAGCACCCGCCGCCTTGTCCTCGGAGGAAGAAGAGGAGGTGGAGCGGGAGAAGGGCAGTCAGGCACCCGGCCCTTTCCCTTCCCCCGCCACCTCTGCCGCCCCGGGAGGAGCGAGCTGGCCGCCCACCGGCTTTTTCGGCCAGCTGACAGGTGGGAGCTTGAGAAGGACCGTGGGGGGGAGCCCTCCCCCCTGGTCCTTCGGAAGCCCCGCCGGTCAGCTGGGGGAAAAAAGGGCCTATGGGGAAACATCGCAAAGCGATGTTTCCCCATAGGGAACATCGGTATGCGATCGCATTACCGATTGCAAAATCCGCATCGCTATGTGGATTCTTCGTTAAACGGGGCGCTCGTTATGCGAGGCACCACTGTATAAACTTCTCCCATTTTTAATCAGTGACAGAGTCATAGCTTTCTCAAAATAATTATGGAAACGGTGGTTTACAGATGATGTTTCATCCATTCAAACTGAAGGTCTGCTGCCTTAGCCCACTGAAGAGGTTTCACATGTGAGTGCAAAATAGTCAGGCACAGCCTAAAGTCTGTCCTCCCTCCCCCAATTTATCTTAGATCTAAAATGACAGCACAGAAATCCACCCTACACCACCTACCCACCCCACCTCCACTCTTATCAACACTGAGTCTGCAATATGACTAGCGACCTGTTGCCATAATAACGAAGAATTCTTATCTCCTTTTTGTGTGCGCAGACTTGCATCAAAGCAGGCCTTGGCAAAGTGACTTCCTACCATGCAGACCTCTGTGGTTTACGTTAATAGTTAGCGGGATGGAGAAGATGGGGCAGGGTGTCATGCCCAGAAAATCAGACAAATGGTTCTGGAAAAATGGAAGTTACTGTACTATAATAAAGGCAAAGAAGAGAACAAATCATACTTATTTCAATCATGGCTTGGGAAAAAAATGAAATTTTTTGGGCTGGCAGTTTCTAGAATCACTCACCCAACATGGTAATGCTGGCTAATTCTGGGACTTCTAAATTTTCTGAGCTCTGCTTTTAAATACCCTTTCTCTCATAAGGTACCTCTGCTTAATGTTATCTGTATCTAATTCTGCTACTTATTATTTATGACAGGAATATTTCACTTGTGCCTATGTCTTTTGGTGGAAGAGCAAATGCACCCCAACTGATGATGTGCCAACATGATGCAATGCCCTTAAGAACCACCCTGCTACAGGGGAGTCAATGTACCATAAACCCTTTGTGCATTTCCTCTCTGCTCAGATGTTTTAGCTTGTATCTAGTAACTTGAGAGGGGTAAGCTAAGAAGAAGTGAGATCACTGGCCAGATGGGCTGTATAGAAATTGAATAAACAAACAAATATTTTTTAAAAAAACGAAAGTTGCTTGCCTCATTGCGATGTTGCTGCCATCGATTACAATAGGCCTCAAATTACTGGTGGGATCACAGGCTTCCTCCTCAGTAAATGGATGGGAAAAGGGTGATTCCCGGCATGAACCATGGACAATAGTGTTAAGGTGAAAAGGTTGTGGCCAGTTCTCACATTCCTGAGGTCTGCTTGCCATCCGAATCAGCTCCTGTAGCAGATCATTCTCTGAGGCTTCTTGACCCAGCTTCTCCAGCACTTTGCACACTTCATCCTTACCATAGCCCAGCTTGTGGAAAAATTCCAACTTATTTTGTTGTGCTTCCATCTCTGAAGCAGGAAAGGAAAGCCTGTTGGCGATAAGACTTTATAAAGCGGAGAACGAGCTGTGTTTATGTGCAACGAAGGGATGCGATGCTTCCAATGAACAGAGCTGACCCAGTGCAACTGTGGTGAACATTGGGATTGGAGAGAAACAAGAGAGAACAACTGTTGAATGAAGACGAGACACACCAAGGAACTACAGATCCTGAAGACAGTGAAACCCTTCAGAGTGCTTAAACTATAATGCATGTCTTTTTTAAATACACGTCAAGTGTTCCCATAAACATTTAGGGTGTCTACTGATTCTATTTACCCATTTTTGTCTGTTAAAAAAAATCTTAATTCCCTTCAAAACAGCAGTATTGTTTATAAATTAGAAACAATTTATGGGTACAGCTACCCATATATCAGCCGAATGGCGCAAGAAATAATGGCTGGTATTTTGTCGAGACCAGACATATTCTCCCCAACACGTGTACTTTCATACATCTTCACATGGAGTGGAGATGCTGACAGCCAAAAAAGGCTCCGTACATATTGGGGGGGCGGGGAGTTATCAGAAACCACTGTTGAGTGTGCCCTCGGGAAAGGTGGGAGACTAAATTGCTCTCTTCTAGCCTCGGCTGTTTTAAAATACTGGAGGAAAGTCTCATCGAGCTTCTGTTTGTTTGTTTTTTCCAATGGCAGCTCATTCCATTAAGGCAAATAAGGCACCAGCGCACCTGAGGCTACCCAGACACTAGTTCACGGTCTGCGTGCTTGCTAAACAGGCAGAGCACCGCTGTGTATGTCAGTGCTTGCCCATTTGCATCTCTCTCTCACACTCACTGTCTGTATGAATGTCCACTTTCATCCTGCCTCTGCCTACACTGGTTGCTCTGCCCTCTGCCTCACCAGCCACAGTGGGCACCAGCTGAGTTCAGAAAAAATCATGATGAGACATGAAAATATCTTAAATCGTATTAGCTGCCTTTCAACTTACCAAGAGACTCCAATCTTTTCTTAGACGTTCTGAGCCCCAGTGAATCCCTCTCTTATTAAATATACTTTCTGGGTAACCAATATTCGTCAGAACATCAGGTATATGCCTAAGATAGGTGTGCAAGAGTGACGTATGCACAGACCAAGACATATGCATACGCACATAGTCCGATGAGGCTTATCACTGACTCAAACATCTGAAAACAACTTAACTGAAGGATTGCACTGGTGCAGTGTGGTTAGTGAAGTACCGATACTATCTCTCTCCAAACTAGCAAAGCTGATCTGAAAAGCTGCAAGTGCTTAGCTAAGTAAACACTGTCCAGTGTTGCTGGAGAAATGTGTCATTAGCAACCTGTGAACACAACATTTGATTTCTGGTTTGTTTGTTTTCTCCTTCTTCCTTTTTAAAAACCACAACTCTACTCAGGATGTGGGTATCATTCACTTTCGATGAGTACTGCCAGTTTGTGACAAGTTTTTGCTCTGTTATCATCCCTGCTGTTGTAATTGGTAGAGGACTAGTCATGAGGCAGAGCAGATGCTTTGTCTCTGGTGGCACGTTTGCAGCAGTTTGAAGGCAACAGATGTACCCTAAAGAGTGTGTGGCTGTATATCCTCAGCTCTTTCACACCAGTGCTTTATAATGGGGGGGGGGGGTTTAGCATTTTAGGCATAGTCCTTTTTAAGGAGAAAAGTGGAGAAAGGAGAAATATTTTAGATTGATCGATAGATAGGTTCAGGAAGCAAAAACAGGTCTTACCTGTCATGACCCATCGGGAAGTGGTTGCCTTTAGAGATTGCAAACACAAGGATGAAACCGATTCTGGTTTTGTATAATAACTAGCGACTCCAAGGACTTTACTACAATGGTACCTGCTGTTATTGTTGCTTCTTCAAAGACAACACCAAACGGCAGCCTGATGAGGCTAGGGACAGTATATATTATATTATATTAAATGGATTTTTGGATTCACATAATTTTCCACTTCAGGGCAACAATTTTCACAGGAATTGCAGTGTGGATGTGAAGGGAATGCTGGCTAATCCACTTGTCAACAGGATATCAATGTGAATGATTGGCTGGCTGGTGTATGTAGTCAGCCTATCCTGGAGCCTGAAGGAGGAGGGGGCTAGAGGGCTGGAGTAATGAAAGAGAGAGGAGCCTGGCAGTTTGAGGGACAAAAGGGCAAAAAGGGTTATGATGGTGGAAAAGGGGGTGATATAAAATAGAGCAAATGTTAAAGCTCGGAGAAAGATAAGGAACTGGTGGGTATGAATTATCTTAATTGGTTGTTGTAGCTGAAGAAAAACTCGAGCTCAAATTTGTTCCCAGTCTAAGGTTCTTATGTAATTAAAAGTTATCATTTTCATTTGTTAGTCACCACGTGTGGTGTGGTTAATGGCTGATGTCAGACACATGACTGGAAAGATGTTTTAAAAGGTGACGGGCCTGAGTCAGGGCAGGTCACAGCAGGGGTAACACATTAAAGAAAGAGTTCTCTCCCCTGCTGCAGTCCTGGTCTCCCCCAACTGCTGTTTGCTTTGGAAAGGAAGTGGCCATGGGTGCCAAAGAGCCATTGCAGCACACAGGAGCAGCAGGCCAAAAACGGTGTCACTGCCAACTGCGATGGTCAGAATCTCTCTCTCACGCACACACACACACACACACGACTACTGTATCACCAAGCATGTGTGTGTGCATGTGGGAGGACCCAATTAACAGGGTAGCAGACCTCTGAAAAATGCTTAGAAAACAGATGAGGAGATCAGAGTTAGAATGTTTTTGGAATCACTTCAAAAGTTGCTAAAGCAACAGCACATATGACAAAGGAAGGGTGACCTGAATAATCTTTTTTTTGTGTGTGTGCACTTGAGCTGCATGTTGTGGTTTCCTTCTGATTTGTGTATTTTTTGCATAAAACCAGAGTAGGAACAGCTGCCACTGCTCAGCTCTATGTTGGCTTCTCATTGATAAACATCCATTAAGAATAGGTGCACACAAATTGTCCCACTGATAGGTGAAAATGTGCTGTGCCCACTTCTGTTTCAGCATTTAAGAAGGAAAAACGAGATAAAAGAAAATGCTACAAGTAGAATGGGCATTTGTGCTCACACTGTTTTGTAAACAGGGAGCCTATTGCACAATCCCTAAAGAAATGCTAGAAGCTGATTGAAGAAGCAAGACTCATAAAGATTGCCACCTCTTTTTGATGTCTTCTGCTTCTGTTAGGTCCCTCCCATTTTTGTCCTTTATCATGTCCATTTTCACACAAAAAGTTCCTTTAACATCTCCAATTTTCTTGAACAGATTTCTGGTTTTTCCCTTTATATTCTTTTCCTCTATATCCTTACACTGTTCATTTAAGAAGGGCCTCTTGTCTCTCCTTGCTATTCTTTGGAATTCTGCATTCAATTTTCTGTAACTTTCCGTATCTCCCTTGCATTTTGGTTCCCTTCTCTTCTCTGCTATTTGTAAGGCCTCGTTGGACAGCCACTTTGCTTTCTTGCATTTCCTTTTCTTTGGGATGGTTTTTGTTGCTGCCTCTTGTACAATGTCACAACCCTCCATCCAGGCACTCTGTCCACCAAATCTAGTTCCTTAAATGTGTTCCTCACTTCCACTGTGTATTCAGAAGGGATTTGGTTTAGATTATACCTGACTAGCCCAGTGGTTTTTCTTACTCTCTTCAGTTTAAGCTTGAGTTTTGCTATAAGAAGCTGATGATCAGAGCTACAATCAGCTCCAGGTCTTGTTTTTGCCAACTGTATAGAGCTTCTCCATCTTTGGCTGCAGAGAACATAATCAATCTGGTTTTGGTGTTGTCCATCTGGTGATGTCCATGTGTAGAGTCGCCTCTTGTGTTGTTGGAAAAGAGAGTTTGTGATGACCAGCTTGTTCTCTTGACAAAACTCTATTAGCCTTTGCCCTGCTTCATTTTGAACTCCAAGGCCAAACTTACCATAAGGTGGTTGGCGGATGAAGCTGGTGGACGTTAGCCTCCTGAAACTAGCTGGTGGAAGGTTGGTGGATATCGCTGGATGGAAGCCCGGGCGTGTGTCGGAGGGGGAGTGAAGGTGTTTGTGTGTCGGTGGAGCTAGATGGTGTGTGCATGTGTGTGTGGATGGGCTGGCGTTCCATGGGGATGTTACCGGGGTGTGTGTGATCCAAGCATTCAGGAGCTGGCAGAGGATGGCTTCAGAAGCGGAGTGGAAGAGATGAACGGGTGGATATTCCTGGTGGAAGCCAGTGGATCTTGGCAGGCGGAACTTCGGGATGAAGTTGCCAGAACATTGGTCGGTGGATATGCTTGGGTTGAAGCCAGTTGACGGCAGTGGACGAGCTCGCCCCTTAGTTTTTCTCCCTCTTTCTCTTGCAGGGCCAGAAGCTTCCTCTTCCCCAGGGTGATGCAAGGGACAGTGCCACGTCCACCAGGGGTTTCTTAAGCATCTTCTTCACATATCTTTAATAAAGCTCTGAAGATGCAAGTCTTTACAATGGCCCTTTCTTAACTAGTAAGAAGCTGTTGGTCTTACTGTTATCATTTTTAGAACTAATTTATACAGCACTGCACTATTGCTGATATAATTTTGCATGCAAGTGTTATTTATAAAAAAGAAATCTCATCAAAACCTTCCATTCTCTTAAAGTTAAGTGTAAAAGTACCCTTTTCTAATTATAGCTTTGCACAGTTTGAATTATAAGAAGAAATAGGAAGAGAGAGTCACTTTCAATCTATATATCTCTTTCCTCATCCAGTTGCCCACTTCTGCCCATAATAAGCAAATATACACAACAAGTGTTGAATAGAACTAGAAGCTAGATTGATTTAAGGCAGGTAGAAGCTGATGCATGCATACATGCATACGCATGTACACACACACTCCAGTTACAGGTTGTTGAACCAAGGGACTGACAATCTCACTTTCAAAGTAACTAATAAGTGACTGGTGAGAAAGTCAAGAAAGGCCAACAGTAGCAGAGGAGAGAAGAGATAGGTAAAGATAAAGAAGAAATGGAGAAGGGGTCAAGGAACCAATGGACAAATACAGATAAATGCTATTTCAGCTGGGACAGCACTTAGTAAAATACTAGACAATAATTATGTTTAATTAGTTTTCTATTCTTTTCTGTTTTGATGGTGGAAAGAGGATGTTCCATTATTAAAAATCCAATGGAATGAGGAATAGGATCTCAATACATACAAGCTTTAAAAAAATCAAACCTATCAGAATTAACACCAAATTGGTGCTGTACATGCAGAGAAATGTTTTAAAAAAGTATGTTTGACACAAACATTTAACTATTAGTAGTTTCAGTTCAGCTGTTCTTCCACTTACTGCACCACTAGATTCATCCCCTAGCATTAAACGTTCCCTTTTGTGAAATCTGTCCATACAATGTCCTCTGTTTTAAGTCTGTTCTTTCTTAAAGGTGCTTTCTCCTTTATCCTTTTGGGTGTTATCTATTCATTGACTACACATCCTCCTGCACGCTCCAGCTTGCTCTCTCGGAACAGAGGTTGACTAGCTGGATCCTGGGAAACTAAAGAGAAACAGTGGCCAAAGAGTTGTCTTCCTGGCATGCAGGCATGGACAACATTAAACACACACTTGTTATTAGGGGATAAGGAAATGGAAGGAATCTCACCAAAGGTAAGGACTATCATCACATTTGGAGATCCCCTGAACAATGACAGCACCCTGTCGGCTGATTGTTCCACTCTGGAAGCACCATGAGGTTGCTTCTGACACAAATAAAAGAAGAATTAGGAGAGGTGGGTTTTTTCTGTCTAAAAATATATACATAAAAAAGAAACATACAAATAGTGAAGGGCCTACTGGTCAGACAGGTATTGAAGTGGTGCTGTCTGCAACAGGTGCTGACACATTCCAAAGTAAAGCTGCCCAGGACTCTAAGCTTCCCCCTGGTACGTAGTGAGTTTTGATATTTACAAAATTCAAGTATCCTACTCTATCAGCTTGAAGGAATCAGCTTCAGCTTGATAAACTCTAGACACACATTTAAACAGCACTGTGGATGGCACTCTCAGATGGCAAACTGAGACGGCATTATATCCTTGATTCACCACTCCTGTCTATGGGCAGCTTTCATAACCATCACTGGCAACATGTTTAAACATCTTCTCAGGATGAAATTTAAAAAAAAAACTTGCTTAGCAGACCGATAGTGTCTAGTCTCCTCTTTCCCTGCTTTCTCCCTGCTCAGCTATTCAGTTCCATTTCAACTGAGATGGTTTCTGGCCGTATTCTGTGTCATCTAAATCAGTAAGGCAAGGTTTCTCCTCCTCTCGTTATTACATTATTATATCTTTGTTCATATGGCTACAGAACGTTATGTACTCAACATCTGCTGATGCCTCACTGTGCCCATGGACAATGCAGTTGTGACTCAGGAACGTGGAACAACTTGAATTTATAATAGAATAAATGATAACAACTGAAGACACTGCATACAGTGAACTTAGCTAGACAGATTCTGCCTGCCAAAGCCACATCCTTTGATCCTGGAGCAGCCCCCAAATCCAGTTCCAGATAGTCAGACAGCCGGTGGTCAGGAACCCTTAGCCTAGGCTCCGATGGATTGCCCAGGAAGGAAGACACATGGTAACATACTGTTCTAAAGTGGAAAACTGTTTCAGCCTTGGCTGAAACCCTGCTTTTCTCATCCACCAAACTGCAATGGCTGAAATGGGTTAAAACAATTTGTACTCACATGGAATTCAGTGCCTTCCTTTCGCAGCCAGAAACATGCTAGGCTAGTTGGGCTACTGTGGTTATCCAGCACTTCTTACAGCAGGCCATAGTGCATTTGCCATTTCATTCTCTCCAGGAAGTGGAGACTGTTTTTTAAGGCATACAGTTGCCGGTGTCAACAGAAAGTGCAATGTGCAGGTTACAGCTCATTTCATGGGAACGTTTTTACTTCCTTAATTGGGCAGCTCATATAATTTAACTCTCAGACTTTGGTTTTGCAAAAAGGAGGAGGAGGAGAAGCATGTCAACACGACAAAGGTCATAGCCATGTGGTGATTAGTATTGATAATGTTTATAAAGGTGTGCATATCTTTACTGGAATGGTAGTGGCACAGATACACAACAAACTTCCAAGTAGAAGTCTTTATACTCTGTGTTATAGCATTTAATTAGCTTCTAGAAGGGTTAAAGTTGATGGTTTCTATGCCCAGATCACTGCAAACAGATCAGTTTTTCTTCAAGTCTGTACTTTGAAAGAAAAGAATAATCCACAGGACATGAGAAGGCCCTATAGAAGAATGACGCCCTCATGAAAACCAATAGAGACATTTTTCCTAGGAAAATGAAAACAATTCTTACTTAGGCTTAAATCTTGCTGCTTAGTGTGGGAAGTTGCATCAGAAAAGGCCCATTGTATCCACTGGGATCTGGCGAGTCATCTTCTATGCAGGTTCCCCAGAGTCAAATAGCCTAGTCTAGTTGCAAGTTACTACACTAAGCAACAGGACTTATCATAATACACAGTCCTGTATAAATTCAACTGGCCAAACACAGGCAGACATTGCCTTTCAGCTGCTGAAAATTTAGAAGGAATGGGCTAAACCAAGAATGTGTACCCAAGATCATTTAACACACCTGTCGTTAAGATACTGTGTATAATTTATTGCTGTTTTTTTTAGATTTAAAATGTAACAAACAGATCATGGAACATCTAGGGAAAAAAGTCTGGAAGCCCTACAAATTGATGCTGGTTGTTTCCATGCAATATTTTATACTTAGGACTGTGGCTTAACAGAGGCTTCCTTCTCTGCTGGTACTGTTTTTGTCTGCAGTAACAAATTCAGTCAGCTCTTCCCACAGAGGAGTGCATGACTTTGACTTCTTCACTGTAGCTCCACATTAATATCTGTCAGTAACATGGGTGTAGTTAGATTTTTGAAAGAGTCACAAAAGAAAAATCCATGATCTAATGCACGTCCCTTTTATGCATGTAGGGATACATAGATTTCCCCCCCACACACACTGCTAAAAAACCTACAAAACTCCAAAAAACCCAAAACATAGCACTGCAACATGTACCGGTTTGTGAAATATTTTACCATGCTGAATTTACCCTGAATTAAGATGAGCGGCAGGACAGGGTTTTGCCAGCCTTCCTGGGGGAGTTTGGCTTGGACTCCCTCACCCTTGCAGGACTGGGCCTTCGCTGCCCCACCCCCTTCTTTTACCATGCTGAATTTACCCTGAATTAAGACGAGCAGCAGGACAGGATTTTGCCAGCCTTCCTGGGGGATACCAACCAGATGGTATCAGGTGACCATATCAGCAAACCTTCGAGCCACACGGTGCTTTTGATGAACGTCAGTTTAGAAGGGGTTTTTATTGTAATTATCAATTGCCAACAGGTTACATACGTAGAGACCCACAGTGGATCTGAGGGGACAGGAAGGGGGGAGAGTGTTGGAGGGGGCAGCCATTGATGTGGGCTGGGTAGGGGAAGGAATGGCAGTGGAGGTAGAACATGCCCATGTAGGAGAAGAGAGTTTAGATATCTTACATCTATCCCCTCTTCTAGTCCTACCCCCAACCAGATGGTATCAGGTGACCATATCAGCAAACCTTCGAGCCACACGGTGCTTTTGATGAACGTCAGGTCAGTACAGAATAAGACTGCCCTCATCCATGATGTTATTCTGGATGAGGTTGCTGACCTGGCATGCATTACTGAGTCCTTGGTGGGAGAGGACAGTGGTGTTCCCCTCTCCCAGATGTGTCCACCTGGGTACTCAGTCCAGCACCAATGTCGCTCGGAGGGTCAGGGAGGGGGAGTTGCTATAGTCTACTGATCAAAGAGATAGAACTCCTATAGAGTCTACAGGATTTCTATCTATTTGACCAGGCTTCCTATCCCTTTGAGAGGAGGTCTTGAGGGCCTGTATTGTGTGTTG